AGAGGTAAATCCTATTAAAGATTTGACAGAGGGAGGATTCCCTTACAGAGCTGATGTATGAGTGTAAATTGCAGAAACAAATACAAAAGGATTGCCCTTTGTTTTTAGGGGCTGCTACACTGAAATAGACTGCTAATAAAAACATGAATCAACTAAAACAAATCCCCAGCCTATCAGTAGAACTTGCATTTAGAATAGACTGAGGAAGACAAATAGGAAATGACTTAAGCATCAAGGTGACTTTCATCTGAGAAGTTTCCTAGGTCTGCTAGGTCATTGGGGAAATAATTACAGTCAGCGGAAAGGAAAAACAAAGAAGCAAGCCCTTGCGAGGCCAGATGGGCAGGCACCAAATGGCAGTGTAGGGGCAAATAGCAGCAAGGTGTTTGCCAATAATGCAATGCAAAGCTTGTATCATACTGAACAAAGGCTGAGATTATTGGCATTTGAAACACATTCATCACCAGTATCCATCTGGGGGAAGACTGCATCAATAGTACTTTTTCTTGCTGGATTTGCAGTCTTTGGTGACATGAGCTTGGCTACTGAGCTCCACAGTGACTGCTCTCCCCCCGGCTGAATTTTAGCCTATATGTAGCTCAGTTATGAGATTCTGTACGGTCTCTCCAACTTTATGAGGATCCTGCTTCAATCTGGAAAAGAAGTCTCTTTGGGCCATCTTCTATTATCAGCGCTGCCCAGTTGAACATTTCTGTTGTTCCTCTGAATGCAACGGTGTTCATCAAAATATTGCCTTTTTTATTGCTTAGATTTGAACACATATTTTCTGGCTTTTTCTTTCATTTAGTGAACAGTGGCTGTAACGGAAAAAGCTCATACATTTTTTGTCTAGATCTAGAGGAATTAATTTCTTGTGTAATATAGGAAAGTTGCCTTCTACCTTGTATCTCTGCTGGGCAGTGGGTTTCACCCCTGATTTTAAGTCCAGTGGACAGGGAAAAGTGAAAGTCCCATTCATTACGTATGATGCCATTGTGCTTTTTGAAAATAAATTGAAGTCTCAAAAGCAGGTGGCAGTAACGAGCACGTTGATTTCATTTTAATGGGATTTGTGTCTCTGAGTTGCCCAGGCTACTTTGAAAATCCTCATGATTGCGTTCTGTGTTACGGCAGGTCTGGGAGGGAGACTCTGAGGGCAATGTCATTGCCTTCTCCAGGCACCCGGCTCCCCTTGCTGATACAGCACCTTCTGCTTTCCAGTTTTTAACAAAAGCTGTAGAGTTTGAAGGTCCACACCTATCAGGCATTAGTGCTACCTTAGCTGTACTCACTAAGCTGTGCCCTGCACCAGACGCATTCAGGCGTTACACATCCAATTGCTATGTACAAGATGGGAGATAAAGGGCCAGGCTTATTTGTGCATATGGGGTGAACCACTTCTGAATGAGTCTGTGCAGCTTCTGCCTGCATACATTGAGTCCTGCTGAAATCCCACAGCAGCTCATGGAAAAAGCCTTCCCTTACCCTGAGCAGCAACAGGATTGGGCCCATGCTGAACAAACCTGCTCCACAGATGTTCACCTCCTACCTGCACCTGTCCACCCACCGCAATATCAAGCGCTCTAATAACAGCAGTTGTGTGGTTCTCTTTGCTTCACCCGAACATCTGCTGAGCAGTTCTAGCACAGCATGGAAGAGCATTATCTTGCTTTACAGCTTATCTTGTACTAACAGCGTCAGAAATACCAGCCATCAATATGCTCCCTCTTGAGAGCAAGCCAGTCGCAGGTGTGTCAGCTGGCTACAGTTATCTTCACAGACACAGACTCCTTTTGTGTCAGCTCATCATAACTGCAAATCTATGTAGTCTTAACATTATTTATTGCCATACGCCTGAACCAGGTGACCTAATCAGTCTGGGGTTTATGGTTCATATGAAGAATAGTAACTGATGTTAGTCAGAAAAGAAACATCCGAGGCTTTGAACCAATTTCCATTAAAATATGGTTTTCATATTATGACATTTATTTCACGAAACATTAACTCCATTTTCTGCAGGCTACTGTAACATTTAAAGGTTTTTCTCTCACTTTGGCATTACTAGATAACTGTAATAACGCAGAATATATCGTAAAGTTTACAGAGAGCTGTAAGTCTGAAACAATGTTACAGCTCAAAAATAGAAATGAAACAAAGTCCAAAGAGAAAACTGTCAATGAAAATTGGTAGAAATTGGATATGTATGTAAATTACAAAAAGTCATCTACCAAGATTCATAGGGCAAATAACTCCAGCTACTATTACTTGGTCCCGAAAAGGAACATTTCATTGAAAGTGCTGCGGTTAGAGAAATGAACTGATGAACATAAATTGAACATAAATGGCTGCAGGCAAACTCGAATACCAAACAAAAAAAGAGTGGTTTTATACGTATGTGCGTGCACGCAGGGTTATATACATACAAACGTCTGCAAGTCTCAGGAATGGATTGGGATAGCCAAGGATTCCCAGCCCAGCAAGCTTACCACCTGTAAATCCCTCAGCCACCCTTCCTAGGGATGGAGACACTCCCAGGCTACAGGCGATGAAGCCCATCCAGAATGGGGTCTGACCACTGCTCAGGATGGGATGTCAACTGCAGTCAGAGAGAAAAGGGATGGAAGCATGAAATCAGGCTCTGAACTTCATGCCATGATTAACAATATTAGGCTGTTATATAAGTTATTATGTAAAGTATTAGGCCAAAATCTGATACATTTTTAAATCTGGAGTTTACCCCATTATTTGTGATAGTGAAGGGGAAAAGTGAGGTTTTACCTTATTCCTTCTCCCTTCCCATTCTTTGCTTAGTCCCTGCTGTATTGCCAGGTGCTTCTTTGAATTAAATCCTTCCCCTAAGGGCACCTGTTAATTAATGTTTAAAATACCTATAAAACCATGTATATACATGTGAACATATAAACATCCCTCCTCCTCCCATCCACATAGATGACATAAATTTTTCTCTGCAGCTTCCTAGTAACCATACTAGAGATGTGGTATTTAAGAGTGAATGTGGCTAACGTTTATTAGACTTGAACTGTATTGTGGGTAATTGTCCAGTAATAACCTTTGGTAAATTATATGAAGCCTTTACTTTACTTAACAGGGAATGCAGGCTCCCCAAACTCTAATATTATCATCATTCAAGATAATGAGCAACACAAACCATTCTATTACCAATCTAAAAGCAATAAATGTCAAAGTAAAGAACTATGCAATATTCTGGCCTGGAAGAACAAAGGACAGAAGTAATGATAATGCCTTTTTATATTAGCAGTCTATTATATCATGCATAACAAATGACCCTGTAATTGTAGACGGTGTTATTTTAACAGGTTGTAAAGAGAAAATGGTGGGGGTGGAAAGGGGGTGTTTGGAACACTGCCCTGAAAAATGCTGTGGGGTTGGTAAATCGGAATACCTGATAGTTTAGTTGAATTTTATCCTGGTGAGTACACTGGATTATTCTGAAGCAGTTTTGTTTATCACCATGATCATCTAGAGCTCTGCAATGTGACACCAAGATCCTTGTTTGCCGCGTCGAGGGTTTGACAAATAACTTGGTGGCAGCCCCAGTTCTCCTCTGACACAAGCACAGGCAAGGACAACAGTACGTTTTAAAACACAGGTTATTGATTTATGGAAATTCCTCATTTGGGCATTTATAGACCATCCAGAGGTCACACAGTGTTTGGGCATACATTCATTATGAGCCTTGAGGATTACAGCAAGTAATGGGCGCTCTCTACTGCTGCACATATGGTGGTATAAATTCATGTACTCATGGATTTATAGAGTTACTCTACTCAATTATTTTATAAACAAAGGAGAATCTAGTCAGCTGTTTGATCAGCATTTAGAGTAGTTTTTTTTCCTTAAATTAAGGGGGAAGGAAATCACCTGAAACTCAGGAAGCCCTCAGCTACCCCTTTGTAAAAGTAACATCATTCTTACTTTCATAGGATCATAGAACAGTTAAGGTTGGAAGGGACCTTAACAATTATCTAGTTCCCGTCCCCCTGATACAGGCAGGGACGACTTCTAGACCGGGTTGCTTAAAGCCCTATCCAGCATGGCATTGAACAATTCCAGGGATGGGGCAGCTTCTGGCACCTTATATTCATTGCCTGTTTTGAGAAAGACTTTTTGCTGAACAGGTGCTGTCTCTTAGGTTGCGTGTGTTTCATGTTAACATGTGAAAGTCTACAAAGCAAGACATGTGCTAAAACAAATATTTAAATGGTACCATTCTCTGTGTGTTGAAATAATTAATTCATGCAGCTGTGGTGTACTAAGGAAGCCGTTAACACAAGTAACAATTATACTGTAGTTCTCATTCGCCAATATGCACAGTCAAATACTGTTCATAAGTACCTAGGCCTGAAGTAAATCCATCCATCCTGCTCTTGCTTTAGGTCTGCACTTGTGGTCAGGAGAGTGTGATTGAGCTGTAAGGGGAAAAGTTAAGAGTTCTTTGTCCAGAAATGAGCCCTCTGCTGACATTATATTGCCTTCTTACTCATGTGATTCTTTGCTTTCCCTCCCTTGCCCAACACATCAGATCTATCCAAGATCCCATCTCCCATTAGATTAGGACCCTTTAGGGTCAAGCCCTGCACGGTTTCAAGTAGGTAAAATTCTACTCTGACTTGCTTTGGTGCTTTGTAATCAGCCGGCATAGAGACCATAAGTGACAAACTTTGAACTGAATTAACCTTGCTTGTATTACCTTTATTAAGCTGGTTTTAAAAGTTGCCCTTGGCGTATATGTGCTGTTTGTAGAGTCACATTACTTCACCACCTCAAAAATGAATTCACAGCAGTGCTTGTTGGAGAGAAAGCAGGCCCTCATAACAAAGATGTAAAATTTAGGTCTGCATTGGTGTTGCTGAACAGAAGTGACAGAAAAAGATAGCAAGCAGTTACTTTACATAGCTCTTTCCTTCTTAGGGAAAACAAATTATTAAACTTCTCAATATTTGCATTTTTCCCATCAGCATACATCCCAAACCTGTCAAGCGAATGGCAGGGGGTGGCAGTGCCTGTTGCGTATCAGCTTTTGGAAGAAATCAGAACCCTAGCTTCCTGATGGCGTAACCATACTGCAGTTTCCATACCAGATCTCAGAAAAGATGTTCCCCAAGAGAGTTATTTATACAACTGTTTTCAGGTAAGTCCAGAATAATGAACACAGCTTGTGTTGTGTGTTATTTTTGCTCCTTGTTCCTCATCTCTAAATGCGTGTTATGTGTTTATCTATATGTTCTTCTGCTTCTGTTTGTAATTTTATGTAGTAGCATCTGTGAGTGGTAGTTTTGTATAATTGCATGTATATAAGTGAAATCAACAGTTGGGTTTTTACGGACTGTTTCAATAAGCAGAGGAGCTTTGGATGACTGTTACTAGTTCCTATGGATTGACTGCTATGCAACTGATACGTGAAGAGGGATTTAGTTAAACAGTTTTTCTAGGTGTTAGGATTGTTGCCATCTTTTCTTGGACTACTACAGAAAGAGAAATCTAGTTTCTTTTGGTTTGAAAATACAAACAATTAATGTATAGAACAGAACTGTCTTTTGGCTCACTGACTCCCCATCCCAAATGCATTTGGTTGCTCATCAGACATTTTCAGGCTCGGAAACAGTTATGGGAAGAACTTACGTGAATCCATCCTCAGACAGAAGTGTAAATGGTAATTCCACCACTGAGCTGTAATGTAAGGTAAATGGCAATGTCCAAGAGAATCAGGGGAAAATAACTAGGGGAAATGTTTTGGAATTGCTTATATATTGAGTTTTAGTTTCCAAAATACCATTGAAACAGACTGGGAGGCCATGTGAATGTTCCAAGTATCAGTCTGAAGCTAGGAGTGTAAAACTTCAAATGGTACATCTGAGGTACAGGAAGCCTCAGAAAGAAGAGGAAATCACAAAAGCCTGCTTTTCTGGAAAAAAGAGGCACAAACCACCCAGAGTGGGTTATTGTTAATCCAGCTTTCAGCCTGTTTGACACTGCACAAATGAGATTTGGCACATCACTAGTAAAACTATAATGTAAGACTTTGCACAGATTAATGTATAGATATAATTTACCCTTCTTGAACTATCTTTGCAAGGCTTAGATGTTAGAGATTCCTTCCAAGCCAGTGAACGAATGAATAGTAACATTATTATGGTCTAGGAGGACTTCTATATTTTCAGTCCTGTTCTGTGTAACAGTGCTTGCTCGTTAAATCTCAGTCCCATTGTGCTGGGTTTCGTTATAAGCAGGGAAGTCTCACCTCTGAAACGGAATATCCATTCCCCCAGTTGTGCTTGCAAATGTCTGGCAAATCGATCTGTCTCTCATCTCACCAGTCTCCCACTATCTCAGCAGTTCATCATTTGTTGGTCCCAATAGCTGTGTCTCTGACTAGCTATCCTGAAATTATTAGAGGTTTACTTAAGCTGACATGAACAAGTTCTATTGGAGTTCCTTATCATGGAGTCAAATATGTTGCTCCTGGTACTTAACCTTATCCAAATATGGTTTGTGACTCATGACCAGGGAAAGGAACTACTTCTCTTAAGCTTGTTTCTGTAGTTTACACACTTTTGAAACTTAATGCTTAAGCATCTCTTAGACACATTTGTTTCATGTATTAGAATACAGCTTTTACTGATTACACAAATAAAAATCTTGCCAAAGTGAAGAAAAGTACTACACCTTTGGTTTTTACTGTTAGCAAAAAAGAGGGTCGATTTAATTCTTCTGCATAACAGGATATCTACTGTATATGAGTATGCTATAGTTCACTTTATTTATGCCAACCAAACTTACTAAGTCTACTTTTTTTACTGCCTGTACTTCTGCAAAGCTTAAAAACCTTCAGTAGAGTCAGCAGCTATACACCGAAGTTTTGCATCTAATGCATAAGTGTGATGAATACAGTTGAAGATGTTAAATTCCACTTAATTGGTGATGTCTTTTCTTAAGCATTTCTAGTTATCTTCTAACATTAATAAGAAGATGATTTTGAGGGGAAAGAAGTGATTTATTTTTTCTTTTATCATTAACAATACTAAGCAATAGAACATTTTTGTATTTAGTGTTTTCCCTTGTTTTCATTGCTCCAGAAGAACATGCTTAGAGCTTCTTATGTTTCTTTTAGGAGAGTGTTTTCCTAAAAAAAAGCTATTGCTAGGATTCAATTGTATCTCATTGCTCATGAGACAACAGAGCAAATTCACACAAATGTTGATAGAAGTCATATAAGCAGATGGTACTGTACACTTTACTGTACAATGGTTAAGTGAAGAGGATGCAACTGCAGGAAGATGTGTTCTACTGTGATGGTTTACACCAACAGGAGCAGGTTCCCATGTCTTTCTCTAGCGAGTCCCAGCAGGCCTCAGAGAAAGCATGGGAAACATCAGTGAGGACAGTTATACAGTTACATGTCCATAAAGTGGGTTTTTCCTTTTCTATCTGGTTGGTTTGTTTACTTTCTCTCCAAAAGGACTTTGTTTCTAACTACAGAACCTCCAAGCTTAAAGGTACAGCAAGTCAGGAAACCATATCTTTAGTACAGGGAGATTGTCACATTCTGAAAGAAGCTGTTCTGATCTAGAGTTCTTCTTTATCTACCCCATCTCCCAAAACATCCTGAAAATGGAAACTCGGGGTTGAAGACAGGGTATGTGTGTCACCCAAACTTAGGACCAAGGTAGGAGATGCACGCCTTCTAGACTTGATTATTTTTAGTGATAAACTGCATTGTCTTATCTACAGAACATCCTTAAACTCTGTGTGTCACTATTTTGTGACAATGACTAGTTAAACACACACCAAATCTAGCATCTGCATGCCCAGCATGTGCTATTATATACTCAGTGCTGCTCCATGAGCAATGCTAATTGAAAAGGCTTTAAGATAGCCTAGGCAAACTGCCTAAAGAGCTGTTCTGCCTGTCTTATCTTCCTGCAGCTGGTGATGCATTTTACACGTGAATGAGAGATTCCTGAAGTTGTTAATGCGTTTTGGAGATGGAGAACTTGTGCTAATGAGGATTGCATGGAATGATATGGTGCAGAGCCTTGTGGGAATTCCATGCTTTTAAATAATCTCGTCACATATACTTCAGGAGAAAGTGCTAATTAAAAGTATAAAAGAGCGTATGTGGTATCTGTGAAGCTGTTATCCAAAGTTGTATTGCTGCATCTGTTGTGCGCTGCAGTTAGTCACAGTTTAATGAGAAAAGAAGATATCTGAGGTCTTCAATTCTAAAACTACAGCACCCTCCCTACACTTCCTCCTCCTCAGAAAAAGCAGTCACAGGTCACCTAATAGCTCTTATTTCCCTGGCTTCACAGTGTGGTGAAGGTTGTAGTTTTTGGGGTGTTATTTTTTGTCATTGTTGGTTGTTCCTCCCCCCTCTGCCCCATCCCCGGTATATGGAGGATTTAAATAAGTTAATAAAAATGTGAAGTTAATTATCACAGCTACAATAGCAAATCCTGCTTTCAGGCTTCATCCAAACTAGGATTCAATCTGTACCATTTCACGTTGCTGCTATCTGCAGTTCAGAGCCATGATTAGACATCAGATCAATGGAAAACTCCTGGCCATAAGCAGTATGCAGGCATTCTTTCTGTTTCAGTGCTACCAAAAACTATTACAATAAGTTATTATAAAGGGAATAATATTAATAGTGGAAAAATGCTGTTGATACTGGAAAAAAAGAAATACAGTGTAATTTTCTATGTTGGTTTTATGATGTGTGTCCCATTTTAGAACTTAAACTATAATTTATGGTGGTGCGATGATTTTTAGCAGCATCCAAAATCAGTACATTCCACTAATCTGTCTGTAGAAATCACAGTGTTAGAAAGAGGAAGAAAAGCAGCAGTGATTCTGCTTTTTTTCCTAACAGGTGTCTCATAGTTTTGAAAGCTAAAAGGACAGTGCACTTTGCGAACAGGAGAACGCTGTGAAGCCCTGTGATTTATAATGTCCTACTTTAGTGATGATGACTTTTTCCTACCTTAGTGATGATTATTCATATTTTAATTGTTTAGTTACTCTGTCCTGTTGGTTTGACATTTCTTGGTGCTTATCTTTGCTTGCTGGAGCCCTCTTTCTGCGTGGTCCTCTCTTTCCTTTATGAAGTATTTTCCTTCCCAAGTAGGGGAGATGGGCAATTCTATCACAGATGGGGACCCAGGCCTCAGGGAAAACAGGTGAATTCCCCAGAAAGTGTCTGAATTTTCTACTGTCCAGTACATTAATTACCAGTCTTTCAGTTCCAGTGTATAAAATGAACTGTAGAACTAAATAGATGGGAAAGTATCTATGTTATATGGCTTTTATTAATGATGATTTAGCACTGAGTATACCAGATACTATTTTATTCTTCAGCTGTCATCAGAGGCTTATGGGATGCTGTTCATGAATAGTATTTCAGCATTAATGAATAGTATTTCAGTGTACTATACTCATGGTTAATACTGGGTGAATTATTCATCCCAAACTATACGTATGAATTTATGCTCCCCATTTCCAAGAGCACTAGTTATCATTATGCTTATTGAATAGGACAGTATGCTGCTTTCAAAGGGCTCTCTATTTCTGGGTTAGAAGATGCAGCTATGAATTGTGCATCCTGAGCCTTTTGTTTTCCCTCAGCGGTGATGCAGATGTTGTTCCCTCAGGAACAGCTCTGAGGAGTTACTCCTGATTATTTGTGTGGTAACTGTGGCTGGTCAGCTGAAGTGAAGGACAGGTTTCTGAAGGTGTGACCTTTCCCTACAGGCAAATATCTTCAGTCAGAATAGTTCATGACCGATCAATTTGCAATGCATGCACTGGTGTTCGGGGGTCCTGTTTTGATCCACGCCAACTTGGCTTCATGAATATTATTCATTGTGATCTTAGCACCTCCATTTGAGGTAAGCAAAGATGTTTTTGGCTTTGACTTCCAGCGTGTTTGTAAACTGACCTGACTTGAGCTGGAGGTGTTAATGTGGCCTGGCAGATTGCCTGCCGCATCTACAGGGTAGGTAACCGTGGCTTTCTGTGGTTTGTCTGACTTGCATGTGTAGTAGGGTACTGGGCTGCAGCATGTGTTGTGGTTTAACCCCAGTTGGCAGCTCAAACACCCCCACCCAGCCACTTGCTCCCACCTAGTGGGAT